GAAGGCCTTTTGGAGACCTCTTGTGGCGTCTTGATGGCCTATTCGGCCATCTTGAAGCCATCTTGGGCGTCTTGCAGTGCTCTTGGGGCGATTTGGGGCTCTCTTTGACCATTTTGGGGGCCTGTTGGAGCCATCTTTGCTCGTTTTGGGGGCCTCCTGGGCGGGGCAGGCCGACGCGAGCGATTCCGGCAGACCCCAGGCTGGCCCGGGAAACGATTGGTCTGGGCCCAAGGCTTCCACTCTTGGCTGCAGCAGCAGCACAGCCCTCTCAGTGCTGCATGCGCCTTGGGGCACTCCACTTCGCGCCCGAGGCACGATGGCGGATATGATATGTGTACGTAGCACCCCGCAGATGCGCATAAGAGTGAGCGGGCGGTGGGGACGTCGGCAGCCTGCGAGAAGCCTGCCGGAGGCGCCGATCTTTTCTTCAAACCAATGTGGATCGGTCGCGGGTGGGTCGCGGGCGGGTCGCGAGTGGGTCGCGGGTGGGTCGCGGGGTGGGTCGCGGGTGGTCGCAAGTGGGTCGTGTGGGTCGCGAGGGGGGTCGCGGGGTGGGTCGCGGGTTGGGTCGCGGTGGGTCGCGTGGTGTCGCGTGGTGGGTCGCGGGGTGGGTCGCGGTCGCGGGTGGGTCGCGGGGTGGGTCGCGGGTTTGGTCGCGGGGTGGGCCGCGGGTTGGGTCGCGGGGTGGGTCGCGGGGTGGGTCGCGGGGGGGGTCGCGAGGGGGGTCGCGGGGTGGGTCGCGGGGTGGGTCGCGGGTGGGTCGCGGGGGGGACGACGACGACGACGACGACGACGACGACGACGACGACGACGACGACGACGACGACGACGACGACGACGACGACGACGACGACGACGACGACGACGACAACAACAACAACAACCAACAACAACAACAACAACAACAATCACTTTACCCGAACGCTCAGTGTTCTCACCAGTGCCAGGGTTTTCATGCGACGCCAGCCAATACCCCCACTTTGTGGGGGGGCAGTGCAAGCTCTACCAAATATCCACACGACTCTTCGCCACCACCCACACCCAGCTTCCCGCCCTATGACGTTCGGACACTTCACTTCGTGGCCTGCGGACGACCGTGGCTACTACACTGGCGTGGAGTACACACCCACAGAAGTTGTTAAGCCTACGTTCGGGTAGAATCGGACAGCGCGCGCGGGTAGAAATTTTGAAAAGTCGTGCAGGTGTTTTTCGAGGACCTACGGTGCGATTCGTGTGATTTTATGATGCGCGGTGCTAAAATTCTTAAAAAGCCCAATGGTTTTTGGAGATTTCGGCGTGCGCGCGCGAAGAAAAAACGAATGTGTCCCGCATGGTATTATTTGACAGGGATGATGGCCCTGGCAGGTGCGCAACCGTTGTCGCAGAAGTTCGAAAAAGTTGCTCGCAAAAGCCCGTTTGACAGAAATGTTTAAAAAGTGTTGGTTTTCCTACGAATCCGCAAGAGCGCGCGGGATGAGATTTTGACATTTTTTTGTTGAAAAACCATTGTTTTTTGATGTTTTTATGTTAAAATCGCTCCGAACACTAAGCTTTTGGAAGGATTTCGTCTTGCGCGCGCGAATGTCCACTTTACCTTATTTTTTGCAAGGGATTCTTGAAATTTGATTATATTAGAACAAGAAATGTCATTTTATAGTGTTTTTTGCAAGGGAAAACGGATTACAACAAAACAGCCGGATCTTGATGACATCGTATTACCTGAGGCTTCCTCACGAAAATGATGAAAATGTAGCTGCGGCCTAGGCGGCGCAGGGGGGCCGTGCACCAGGGGTCCCAACAATAATTATTCTTTAGAATTAATAATGTTCAACAACCGCAGCAGCAGCAACAACAACAATCATTTCAAGTTTGTTCGCTCTTACTGGCACGCGTGCCTTGCATTCCGTATGCCCCAACCCTCGATACCCGCCCACTTTGTCTTCGATTGCACCCCCTTTGGGGGAATCTCTTTCTTGTCGGCCACTGACTGAAGTGCGAAGCTCCACCTACTTGCTTGAATTTCGGGAAAATCTCGAGCGATAGCGTTGTGTTTGAGTTCGGGGGCCTTCTTGGCCAGGGGCTCTTGGAGTACATCGTGAGGAAGTATCGAGCAGGCGCCCTTTTCGTCGTGGCTGGGCTGGGCCTCGAGCGGGAGCCGTTGTTGTCGTAGTTGGGCCTCCAACGGCCCACATTTAGGTTCGAGCCAACACTCGAGCGGGAGCCTCGTTTTCAAAGAAAATGTGGCCGGCGTCGAGGCCGGGAGCGTCGTTTTTAGAGGTGAGTATCCAACAATAACAACAACGCAACTAGCAGAATCCTCACCACGGATTCTCATTTCAGTCAAGCACCCAGGGACAATGAATGACCCTTCGGCTCCGTCACTCTGATGGTACTCTAGTACATCGTTCTTGTACATGGATGTGCGCAAATATAAACTTACAGGGGGAGGGAGAGAGAGAGAGAGAGAGATAAAGAAACAACAGTACATTTACAGAGAGGGAGAGAGGGAAAGAGAGAGAGAGAGAGCCATCCATACATATAGAGGGAGAGAGAGAGAAAGAGAACAAAAAAAAAAGCAAGAGAGAGAGAGAAGGAGAGAGAGGACGAGAGAGAGAGAGAGAAAAAACACAAACAATACACATGCGAGAGAGGGATCGAGAGGGAGGGGAGAAGGGTGAGGAGGAGGAGGAGGGTCCTCTTGGGCCCCCTTGTGGATGCTTTTTGTTGTCTCTTGTGGTGTCTCTTCGAGGCCTCTTGGAGGCGCGTGTTGGAGCCTCTTGGGGGCCTCTCGGGGGCTCTGAAACCCTTTTGATGCCTTTGAACCTCTTGGGAGCCTCTTAAGGCCTCTTGGGCGCCGGCGGGAGTCTCTTGGCGATCTCGGGGGGGCAACCTGGCACTAGATGGCTCCCGGGGCCAGTTCGTGTTCCGCCCTCTGGGGCCGAAAACAGTGAAAGACGTGCATCCAGTTCTTCCCCCAAGGTGCCAGAAGCCGTTGGGGCGCCCGGGAAGCCTCGAAGACAGGCCCCTGGATGTACGCAGTGCTGAGGGGGCTCCTCTGGGGGCCTGCGGTACAGTGGGCGGCTTGGATAAGGAACACCTACTTTTCAAAAGGGGCTCGGTCGTTCCTTAGATTACATGCGTTATTTACAGTTCCCTATGCGTTATCCATTATTTATCGCTCCTTATGCGTTATTCCTTGGGATAAAAAGGGGCTTCGTTCCTGGTTTATCGTTCCTTAGGTCAGGCCGATGACTGTACGATGCTGGATGGAGTAGACCCGTCAAATGGGGCATCGGCCCGCCGGCAGGTGGCCCACGGGAGTTCCTCGTCCTCCGATGGCCTTTGGGCCCCCACAGAAGAATCAGGGCGCCTCAGGAGTCCGATGAAATTGGGCGACACGCCTGCCCCGTGTATATAGGTAATATATATATATATATATATATACACATGTATACATCTATATATATACACATATATACATACATACATACATACATATATGTATAGCAAGATCTCTTGTTGGGTAGGGGTTCGACTCAACCCTCCTCCCCTGGGTCGCCCCTCATCTGAGGACGAGAAGACGATGTTGGCACAAGCTTTCCGAGCTCCGCGCGGATCTCTTGGATCGACGCTGGACTCCCCTGGCGTCGCCTCCAGAGCTTCTGTCTATGTATTCTTTTCTTCCTCTAAAGGAGGGGCGCCCGGGAGGGGGGAGTGTCGAACACCTACAATGAGATACGATAGTACATCTCGCGACCATACATGAGGAGATTTTGTTACAATGAGGGCGAGAGATCTTGCTGAGGCGCACTTTATGTTTGTGCAGGTTTCTGTGCTTTCGACCCCCCCCTCCCCTGGCCGCCCCTCGTCTGCAGGAAGAGCAGGCGACAGAAATGTAAACCTCCTGGGAGCTCCGCCCGGGCTTCTGAGATCGGCCCAGGCCCCTCCGCCCTGGCGCTCGGTGCCGGAGGCACGCCAGGGGGAGAGCATGCTCTTGGCATCGCTCGGACGTGTGCATTTTTCCTTCGGCGAGGACCATCGAGGAGCATCCTTGATCATTTCGCGAAACAACCACGCACGAAACCGAAAAAAGCACAGGAAATGGACGTCCGAGCGATGACCAGTGCTACGTCGCATCAGTTTGATGCCAATGAGTGGAAGATTCGTTGGATCCGTCAGTGGACCAGTCTTGTGCACTGGCGTAGAAGGTGGACCCAGGAGGACCAGTCAGCGCTGGCCCAGGAGATCCCGCCAGACCCAGGATCAGTCAGGGCTGGCCCAGGAGATCCGCGCGGAGTCCCGACACTCAGTTTGTATCGCATGTTTTGTTCCTTCCCTTGGCATCGCCCGTGCGCATGCACTCTGTTTCAGCGAGGGCCATCGAGGAGGAGCACCTCGGACCACCCCGCGAAGAATTAAGCGCAAGAAGCCGAACCATGCCCGGGGAATGGACGTCCAAGCGATGGCAAGTTCTTCGATCACCCGCGGAGCTCCATTCTAGGCCTCCCAGATGGGGTCCGGGTAGATGGAGGGATCGCGCCGCATCGCCGATGCATCGGCGATGCGGCTCGACGTGGAGCCCGATCTCCTCCACGCCGACGTCGCCGATGCATTGGCGATGCGGCGCGATCCTTCGACCCCCTCTTCTCGGACCCCATCTCTCTCCTCTCCTCCTCCTCCTCGTCTCGTCCTCCTCTCCTCCTCCTCCTCCTCCTCCTCCTCCTCCCCCCTCCTCCTCCCCCCTCTTACGCTCGTCGCTCTCCTCCTCCTCCTCCTCGTCCTCGTTCTCGTCATCCTCCTCCTCCTCGTCCTTGTCCTCCTCCTCCTCCTCCTCCTCCTCGTTCTCGTCCTCCTCCTCTTCCTCCTCCTCCTCCTCGTCATTCTCCTCCTCCGCCTCCTCCTCCTAGGAGGCCTCTGTCCGCGAGGCCTGGCCCACGGGCGAGGGCGCTGCCGGGCGAGCGCCCGCCGGGGCGCCCGGCGGCGCCGCGGGTGGCGCGGAGGCGCTCGCCGCCACGGTGCAGCTGCAGGCGGCGCCCGCCGCGGAGCCTCCGCGCGCTCGGCCCGCGCCCTGCCTCCGCCTCCTTCTCCTCCTCCTCCTCCTCGACCTCCTCCTCCTCCTCCTCCTCCTCTACCTCATCCTCCTCCTCCTCCGCCTCCTCCTCCTCCTCCTCCGCCTCCTCCTCCGCCTCCTCCTCCTCCTCCGCCTCCTCCTCCGCCTCCTCCTCCTCCTCCTCCTCCTCCTCCCTTCCTCCTCATCTCCTCCTCCTCTCCTACTCGCGCTCGGCCCGCGCGCCTCCTGCTCGAGGAGGGTCCAGGGTCCCCCCAGACCTTCGGCTCGGCACCGCTAGTCTTTTTTTGTTGTTGTGTTGTTTTTGTTATTTTCTCCTTCGGCGAGGGCCATCGAGGACCAGATTGGATCATCTCACGCGAACGAACATTTCCATCGAGAAACGGATGGGATCGTCTAACGAAAACCTGAAGCGCACGAAGGCGAACGCTGGTTCACCTCGGTCGTTTCGACCGGCGACGACCCCGCCGCCGGCGTTCCAACCTTGAACGCCGCCACTCAGAATCGGCCGATGCTGGACGAGCTCATGTTTCGGAAACGCCCGATGGTTCCAGGTTGAACGATCCCCGCAGTGTCAGAAACCAACGCCGGGGTCGATACGACACGAACCTGCCTTGCCTTCGGCTCGGCCTCGCTCGCAGGCGTGCTGTTATTCCGGCGAGGGCCATCGAGGAGCAGATTGGATCATCTTACGAAACAATGAAACGCGCGAAGTCGAACACTGCACCAGGAATGGAGGTCCAAGCGATGGCGCGTCGTAGGCCCAGAGGTTGACACCGACACTGGTATCGGCGGTGTGTCTCCACCGAGGGTAGGTGCTCCCGATCCTGGCGATGGGTGGTAATGCTCGGGCTTCCTCGATGGCCGAGATATTCCCGCCATCGCCAAAATCTAGGATCACCTTCCCCTGGTGGAGGCCCCCCCTGTGTTGGCGTCGGTGCCCATCTCCTGGCCCCCAGTAGCTCTTCTCGTTTTGGAAGCTCGGCGGACCGTCAGATCCAGGCGGCGCAGGCTCCCTGGGCGCGTGTCCCGGGGAGGGTCCTGGGGGGGGCGGTTCCCGTAGAGCCTTTGGTGGTGTGTTGCTGAAGTCTCCTGGAACCCTGAGATCCGACGTAGCGAACAGCTTGCAACATCACGAGCAATGGCGACCGCATTTCTCGAGCCGGATCGATGTTGTGATGGTCCTGCGGCCCGAGGCCAGGCGAGCGCGCCCAGTGCGAAGCAGCTGCACCGCCCGGATCTCAGATGATGGGCTCCAGACCTTCCCAGGGGTGCCCCTGCTTGCGCTCCTCCTTCTTGCCGATTTCTTCGGGGGCTCCTGCACGGCGTGGTGACCACGCCGCGTGGTGAGTCGGTAAGGATCCGGGGCCACCGCGCGGCTGTGGGACCCGAGTCGTTCCCCGAGGACGTCTCGAGCGGCTGCGTCCGAGGCGCCAAGGCCCTGCGGCGACGGGCCGCGCCGTGCGGGCGCTGCGGCTCCCGAGGCCGCCACGCGGTCCGTCACCCGCACGGCTTCTTGGGGACCCGAGGACTGGAGCTCCTGGCTCAGCCTACCCGCCTGGAACATATCCCTACATCCCCAGGCCGAGAGTGTCTTCCTCTTGGACGAAAGATATGACAACATCAAAGGATCCAATCGGATCCCTTTTCGGGAGTGGGAGAGTTTCGTGGATCCTATTTCTGTGTTGCGCGGATCAAATTTCCTGTGTGTGTGTGTGAAAAAAACGATGGATCCATTTATTTCCCGGGAATAGATATATAATAAGAATTAACATCCGGGGCCCAGGGGAAATTGGATCCGCGGAGCACCGCAAGTGAAGCATCATGCTATCCACGGAACTGTGGATCTGCAGACCAATGCTACGATTCTACGGGGGAGGGGGGTCTTCCCAAGATGAAGAGGGGAAGGACGAGGGAAGGGGAGGAGGAGAAGGGAGGTGGGAGGGAGGTGGGAGGAGAAGAAGGACGAGGGAGGGGAAGGGAGGTGGGAGGAGAACAGAGGGGACGCAGGGGGGGAGAGAGGAGGAATAATCAGGGAAGAGACGGGGGGAGGAGGAAGGAAAAGGAGAAGGAGGATGAGGGAGGAGGAAGGAGAGAGAAAGGAGGCGGACGGACGAAGGAGGAAGGAGGAGGAGGGAGGAGGCGGGAGGATGAGGGGGGAAGTGGGAGGAGGAGGAGGAGGAGGAGGAGGAGGAGGAGGAGAGGAAGGGATGAGGGAGGGCGAGGACACACAAGCAAAGTGTCCAAGTCGGAAGCTCGAGCGCCACAGCGGGCCCGGCCACCTCCCTTCACTTCTCCCATAACATGTGGTTGTTCTCACCTGAACGGCGCGTCGCTTCCGACATGTTGGGCTCAAGAGGAAAATCTTTCGGCCTGCGGAAGTATCCCTATGCTGGGCATCTCCTCATAACGATGACAATATTAGGGATTCCCTTATTCTTTGAGGGCGAATCCCTAAGATTGTCATCGCCTTTTGGCGTGTCAATCTTAAGGATAGGGATGCGTTCGAGGCTGGTTATCAGCGCCCCGCTCTCTGGTGCCGGCGGCCGCGTCCCGGAGATCGGGCGCTCCTTAAGGTTCTGCCGTTGCGTGGGCTGCCCGGAGGTCTGGGCCGCTTCCCTGCAGATCATGGCCGGCCTCTCCTCCCGAGCCACTCCTTGCCTGCCCCCGGGGGCCCGCCGAGGGCCCCATATGGGAGGCCAAAGCAAGTGCCAGACGCCGGCCGCTCCGACGTTTGCTCGGGGCCTCGGACCTCCGAGGGCGCTCTCCGGCGCCTGTGGCCGCGGCGTGGCCGCGGCCCTCGCCCGCGAGCGGCGCCCTCGCCTCGGCGCCGGCGGCCCTCGCGGCCGGTCTGCCGCCTCTCGGCTCGCCGGGCCCCGCCGCTGGGCTTCTTGCTCTCGCCGGCGGCAGTGGCGAGCGTGAGGGTCGGCGGCGCGCCCGGGGGGAGCGCGGGGGGCCAGGTCGGGCGGGGTTTGGGCGAGGATATCATTATCCGCTCCAGAGCTTTCCTGGGGCGCTTGCAGAGCGTGCCAGGACGCGGCGCCCAAGACGTCCTCCGGAGCCGCCGGAGATTCCAGAGATCTTCGATCCATGACCAGTTTGAATCACATATCCCTATCCCCGCGTTTGGCATCGCCGCACCTCGAGGCCGATCTTCAGGATCCCCTCGGTCTCTAAGGGCACGTCCCTGAGACTGTCCTCGCTTTTGGCTCGCCCATCTCAGGGGATGGGGATAGGTGCGAGGCTGGTTGATTCGTCCGCACGCGGGTTTCTCTTCGTCCTGGCTCCGCCCCACTGGGCCTGCGTCGCCAGGCGGGCGGCCAGGCTCCTCGGCAGCCCTCGCGCCCTCGGAGAGGAGCCGCCCCGGTCCTCGGAGGAGGCCGAGAGCACTCTCCGAGTCGAGCCGGGTCCTTGGGCTCGCGCTGGAGCGGCCGCGAGTTGCTCCAACTTCCCTGGAGACCGTCGGAGTTACCTGGATGTACCTCGATTTACACCAGATCTACCCGGATTCATCTGCCGTTTGCTTGGGCTTACCTGGCCCGATCCCCACAGGTCAAGTCGATTGGCGAAAAGTCGGCGAGCCCGAAGGGACCAGAGAGTGCCCGAGGCCTTCTGCTCCCTCTCACTTCCCTCTCACCTTCCCCCCTCTTACTTCCCGAGGAGGCCTGCTCCCTCTCGCTTCCCCCCGGGGGCTCGCCGCCGAGCGGCCCTCCCCCCCGCAGCGCCCGCCGCACTGTCGGCCTGGAGGTTGCACCTCGCTTCTCGCCTCACGAGCAGAAGTCAAGCAGTTGCGAGGCGTCCCGGCGTGTCTATAGCCCTACCAAACAATGTTCTAAGAACCTTCTATGGTTTCCACGAAATGTTCTTAGAACATGTCTGGCTGGGACTGTCTTGTTTTAACACATCGGGTTAACGTTCTAAGAACATTGTTCTTCGTCATGTGTTTAGAACATTTGTGGGTTCTACGAAAATTGCGTGGTAGGACCACAGGAATGGCGGGACGGCCGGTCCCTGCTCAAAGGAGGGATATCGCGCGTAGACTTTTTCGAGCAGCTCACTCGCCAGTGAGCGGGGCCCCTGCTGCGCCAGGACTCCGTCCCTCTTCTTCTTTCCCGTGCGAGCAGCATCCTGGAGGCATCGCGCGGCGCGCTGGCTCCGACGTCCGCCCCGTCGGATTTGGGACGACGTTTAGGTCGGGCCTGTCCCCCTACAGGGGGATTTTCGACGAAAAATATGAAATACCCCAAAATGCCCCCGGTTGGTCAAACAATATTCAAAAAATTAGTCCCCAGACCATTTTGGGTTTATTTTTGGAGTATTTTTTATCTTTCGTCAAAATCCCCCTGTAGGGGGACAGGCCCGACTTAAGCGCAGATCCGACGCGAAGCCGCCGTCGAGCCGCCGTGGATGGGCGCCGGTCCGACGCAAATTCGGCCTCGCGTTGCGGCGCAAGGCCTCCTGGATTCTCTCTCCAGGTATGCGGGGGCCTGCCGCTCCCGGAGGATCCGACCCTTTCCCCGGGACCAGTTTCTCATCCTGAGTCGTTGGTTTCAGGAGGGAAGCAACACACAGACACAATGAATCGTCGACTCCCATGAATATATGGGAAAATATGGGAGGCGGGGGGGAAGACAAAGACCCAGAAAATATAAGAAAATATGGGGAATCATTTTATTTGCGTGTATTTATTTGCGAGTCCCAGGGCCCCTTCATGATTGACGGTCCAGATGCCCGGCGAGGGCCCCCAGAGGCCGAAAACTGGCAAAAAACCTCCCGTCGTGATTTTCCACGACGCGATCATGTCTAGGTCATCACAGTCTCTAGAGGCCAGGAGTGCCTCCCCTTTTGCCCCCTCGGTGCTCGGGCCCCCCCCCCCCGCAGAACCCGAGAGCCCTGCCCCGCGAGCCGACCGCGTGGGTTCCGCTCCCCCTCCCCCCTCCCCCCTCCTCGCTCCCCCTTCTTCTCCCTCCTCCCTCCTCCTCCCTCCCTCCTCCCCTCCCTCCTCCTCCTCCCTCCCTCCTCCCTCCTCCCTCCTCCCCCCCCCTCCTCCCCCTCCCTCCCTCCCTCCTCTTCCCTCCTCCCTCCGCCCCCCCACCCCCCCTCCGTCCTCCTCCCTCCTCCCTCCTCTTGCCTCCTCCCTTTCCCCATCCCATCACTCCACCCCCCCTCCCTCCTCCTGCCTCCTCCCTCCTCCCCTCCCCACTCTCCCCCCCCCTCCCCATCCCCATCCCTCTCTCCCTCTCCCTCCCTCCCCTCCTCCCTCCCTCCCCCCCTCCCTCCCTCCCTCCCTCCCCCGCCCCTCCCTGCTCCCCGCCGCCAGGGCCGCCACGCGACGGGCAGCCGCCCCGCGCTGGCGCCAGGCGGGGCCGCCCCGGCCGCCTGCCCGTCGGGGGGGGCACCTCGGCCCCGGGGGCCCCCAGGGCGGCGCGGCGACCCCGGCTGGTGGTCTGACGTCGGGCCCGTCCCTCTGCAGGGGGATGTCCAAGGATAGTCCACAAAAGGATACGGGGACGAGGTTTTGATTCTTTTTGACCATGTGGGGGTATTTTTTTGGAGTGTTCCTTGCTTTTCGCCCGAAATCTCCCTTGTATGGGGGACAGGCCCGACCGAATGGTGGTCCCCAAACGGACACGAGGCCCTCGGGAGCACGCCTCGACATCGACAGGCGTGGACATGATCTCTCATCTTTCAACGCCCCCCGGCCTGCGAGCCGCAGCCCCTGACCCAGACCGGGGGGCGCACGAGCCTCTGCCAGCCGTTCCTGGCCGCCTGCGCCCGGCCGCCGTCGCGGGCGGGCGCGCGCAGGGCGGCAACGCTGCAGCGCAGAGAGGAGACAAGAAGCAAGGGGAAGGAGGAGGAAGAGGACGAGGACGGACTCGCGTGGTTTTGCGAGGATGTCCCGAACGCTGGTGGTCCAGGAGTCACAGGATACCCAGCGGCGACCCCGTGTTCCGAGAAACCCGGCGGTGACTTTTCGGGGATTCCAGGTCACCACCTGATCTCTCACCGCCTTCACTGGGGGCTCCCAACCCAGGCTCGAAGAAGAAAAACAGTATGAACATAAACTTTTGGCGCTCCGCGCGGATTTCTTGGATCCGCGATGGCCCCCCCACCGGCGGTGCCTCTGGCGCCGCCCCTGGCGCGCACCGCGCGCCAGGGAGGGGGTTCCAGCTCAGATCCAAGAAATCCGCGCGAAGCGCCAACACAGTTTTTATGTTTATGGCATTTGTTCTTCTTCTACAGGCGGTGCGCTGTTTTGCAACTGTCTGTCGGCGGCGAGCGACGGGGGGGAAGTTCGAGGCTCGAACTTTGAGGTTCGAGGTTCGTGGCGTTGTTCCATCGTTTTCGCCCTCTGGGGGCCGTTTTCGGGCCCCGGGACCCCCGAATTTCGATCCGGGGTGAAAAACCGCGTCGGGTGGATCTGGGATGGGTGCAGGGACCGATTTTGACCGTCTTTCGGGGGCGCGCCCGAGGGCCCTTGGGGAAGTGAGAAGGAGGAGGCCTTGTCAGGAGGCGGCAGGGCTTCTCAGAAGCCCTCCGGCCTTCTGAGAAGTATCTTGTGCCTTCGGGGGATGTTCTGAGATCTTCTCATAAGGCCGGGGGACTTCGGAGCCTTCTGAGAAGGCCCGCCCCTTCTCACTTTCCCCTGGGCTCACTGCCGACGTTTGCAACTGCTTGCATGTTCCAGCAAATTCCCAGCGAGTCCAGAAGGGAACGCATCCCTCCCATGAAAGCAATTTTCAAGGTCCTTGAGGAGCTCGTCCCTGTTTCGCAATGGTTTTCCTAGGCCCAGCAGCTGGAGTGAAGATGCACGCGCGGGCGCGTGCAGCAAGCAGGCCTCCCAAAGGGACAACGGGGCAGCTTCAGGACAAGCGCCGTTGTGCGACCGTTGGTGTGTTTGCTCCCTCGTCCCTGGTTGGAGGTGTTCAGGAGGGAAACAACATACAGACACAATTAAGCGTCGATCCCCAGGAAAAGATAGGGAAATATGGGAAGTGTGGGGGGGGGAAGACAAAAACCAAGAAACCATTGAAAACATGGGGAATCCTTTTTTTTGTGTGTATTTATTTGTGTGCCCCAGGGCCCCTTCACAGTTACCCGCTCGCGGCCTCCGGGCGGCAAGCGGCGAGCATGCCGAGGGGGAGGTGGGCCTGCTGGCCCGGGCAGGCGCGGGCGCCGCGGCCACGCAGCCGCTGCCGAGCGCGGCGCCCGCCGCCGACGCGGCGCCGCTGGCGCCGCCCCCCAGCCGCGAGGGCCACCCGGCCCAGAAGGCCGCCGCCGCACTTCGGGAGCCTGCACGAACGAGATGGGTACGGAGAGAAGGGGTACAATGCCCAACAGCGGTTCCTGTTCATTTTGGACTGGACTCGCTGTCGGTGTCGCCGCGGCCTGTGTACACTTGAGACAGAAGGTCGCCTGCCCAACAGCGGCCGCTGTTGGTTTGGGACAACATTTGTTGTTGGGCATCGTACCCATTTTTTCGGTACCCATGTCGGGCGTCCAAAGGGAGGGTCGGAGATCCTGTTCCAGAGAGCCAAGGCGCCGAGAGCTCGCCGAGCGCGGTTCCGCTACTCGCAAAGTTCCTACTCGCAAGCGTCCGAAAAAAACACATGCCTGCTTCGATGTAGTTTATCGTAGGTCCCCAGTGGCGGATCCAGGACAGGGTTAAGGCGGGCGTGTCTCTCTACGGGGGGAATATCCAAAAGTAGTCAAACAAGTACTCTGGGGACCATGTTTTGATTATTCTCGGGCAGCTTTTGAGCATTTTTGTAGGGGTATCTTTTACTTTTCGTGTACAATCCCCCTGTAGGGGGACAGGTCCGACCTGACGGGAGGGCCGGAGATCATGTTCCAGAGAGCCGAGGCGCCGAGAACAGAGGTCTAGGCCAGTTTTTGCCCATTGTCGGAAACTGGAACATATACATTGCCAGTGGCGGGCTGTTTTTCAATACCAGGATGTTTTGAGGGTCGGGGACGACGCTGGGGTGGTGTGGTGTATACTTGTTTCCCCGATGTCTCGGGGAAACGACGAAAAATGTATACACCAGGGTCCCGTGTACACCATGGAACATATACATTGCCAGTGGCGGGCTGTTTTTCAATACCAGGATGTTTTGAGGGTCGGGGACGACGCTGGGGTGGTGTGGTGTATACTTGTTTCCCCGATGTCTCGGGGAAACGACGAAAAATGTATACACCAGGGTCCCGTGTACACCAGGACCCGCTCCCCAGTGCAAATTTCAATGCAGGACAGGAAAAAGCGTCGGTGTATAGATTCCGATTCCCTATATTGTCGGCCTCCGGTGACCCTCAACGAGCCCGGCGACCACAGAAGCAGACCCAGGACGACAAGCCGGCCCAGCGGAAGTGGCCCTCCAGACCTCCAGGGTCCACGCATCGAAACAATTGGAGCGCCGGAAGTCTGGGGGTTCTTCTCGGGGATGGGCGTTCGCTCCGTACCCATGCTGCTGCCCCCCCCCTCTTGGTGCTAGGAGGAGCAGGGCATGAGTAAAAAACGTGGCACCTGGAGCAATGGCTCTCACCCATGTTTCCCGCTCGGGCCCCACTGGTGGGGTTGTGGCGTGAGCAGGGGCTTGTATGAACTGTCGACGCCCCTATCTTGGCCTGTTGCTACCAGGCGTGACCCTGGGGGGGAGGGGGGAGGGGGGAGGGGGCCCCTCGCGTCACGATGCGCGCCGGCGCTGGATGAGAATGCTTCGGGACCTCTCTAATTCGACTAGACGTAAGAGTGACCTTTCGCCGGAGTGACCTTTGGTGCGGGCCCAGTGGGGCCCCCCGATCGCCGAACGCGAGGGGGCAGTGGCGTCTTGCGCGCTCGCGTTTGGCCCCGCCGCGGCCCCCAAAGGTCACTCTTGCTCAGGGTCACTCCTGCGTGTAGCCGATCTTTATAATTCCCACACGGAGCCAGCTCGAAGCGTGACGTGACCATGGTGGTGGGGGAGGGCAGGAGGCGGGGCTGGCCACGGGCGTTGGCGCGAATTCTGTGCAAGCTGTTGTTGCTCCCCCCCCGGCCTACCAAGACCCCCTCGCGTCGCGAGCAAACATCATGACGGAAGGCGTGTTGTCATTGTGGGGCTTTGGGGGCTCTCGCTGGGTCCCTGGACCGTCGAAAGAATGGCTCAGGATAAGAAGCGGGTCCTTGGGAATGGGTCAAGACCTTCGGTGGTGCAAGGCTTGAAAATCTATGACAGGCCGATTGTAATGGAGAGGGCCCTGGGATTCCTGCGCCTCGAAAGCATTGAGGCGCTGGAGCCAGAGGTCTCAGGAGTCCTGCTTCCCGAAAGAAAGCATTGAGGCGTTGCCGCCAGAGGTCTCAGGAATCCTGCGCCTCGAAAGCACTGAGGCGGTGGAGCCAGAGGTCTCACGAATTCTGCGCCTCGGACGCTGTGAGGCGGTGGAATTCTCCACGTTATCAAATTCGTCTCTACACTATGCAACAGTTTCAAGGCTTCGTTTTGATGAACTACTGGGGATCGCGTGCTGGTGCGAGTCGGCACTGACTGGTCGCAACTGTCCCGTTGAGTAGCGGTCTTGGAGTCCCAGGAATTGGCGCTCTGGTGCGATTTGGGACTGTCAGGCCGCCATCGTCACTTTTATTCGCGGCGTTGGAGTCTCAGGAATGTTGTTCTAGCACAAATGGGAATTGTCAGACCCATTTCTTCCAATGGAGCACTTGCTTCGATGAGCATCATTTTTTTGTAGGGACCTGCAAAGAGGGAACTTGAAAGGGCTCCCTCCTCCTCCTCCTCCTCCTCCTCCTCTTCATCTCCTCCTCCTCATCTCCTCCTCCTCCTCCTCCTCCTCTTTCTCCTCCTCCTCCTCCTCCTCCTACTACTACTACTACTACTACTACTACTACTACTACTACTGCTGCTGCTGCTGCTACTACTACTACTACTACTATTACTACTACTACTTCTTCTTCTTCTTCTACTACTACTACTACTACTACTACTACTTCCTCCTCCCTCCTCCCTTAGACATGCTGGCAGGTGAGGCGGCCGCTCGTGTGAGAGTCTCTCAGGAGTTGCGGCACCGCCTGTCTCAGGTTGAACGCAAAGCCCGTCTTGTGCGCAGGAGGCTTCTCAGGGTAGGGCTCGAGCCGATCAAGGCCTCACAAGAGGCTGCGGTTGCTCCGATGTGTCCTGGCCCTCGCCTCCCGCCGCCTCGCCCTCCCAAGGCTGTCGCACGCTTCGTGTCTGCGCACGTCTTGGCCGAGGGCGGCAGATCGTGCACAGTGTGTCATAGGTCTGCTTCTAAAAGTACGGAGTGCGAATGGTCAAACAGTGAGTGGTTTCCTCTCATGCCCATCGACAGTAAGATCTCCCAAGTTCTCCCAGGGAGAATGTTTCACTTGGCGGACGGTTGGACGCACCCCACCCACGCTTTGCGGTTTCACCAAGTCCTTGGTGTGTGGTTTTGCGGCTCCTGCGGTTTCTTCGGCCAGGCCCAGCTCAGGGGCCTAGGACTCCCATGCCGCCCACATCTGATCACCAAGGCCAGACGCGAGTACTTTAATAGGTTAGCTCGCGGTCTGCACCCAGTGTTCTGAGCCTGCATGTCTGCATATGGCGGACATCCTGGACATCCTTTTTCCCTCCTCCCTTCTCCCTTCTTCCTCCGCCTCCTTCCTCACTCCTCCCTCCTCCCTCCTCCCCCCTCCTTCCTCCTCCTCCTCCTCCTCCTCCTCCTCCTCCTCCTCCTCCTCCTCCTCCCCCTCCTCTTATTTATGTTTCCAATTGTGGAGGAGGTCGGTGAAAGCCTCCCGCGGGGTGGCGCTCGACGGGGCGCCAGCCACTTACGCCACCCGCGGGAGGGACTCCTCCTCCTCCTCCTCCTCCTCCTCTTCCTCCTCCTCCTCCTCCTCCTCTTCCTCCTCCTCTTCATCCCTCATCCTCCTCCCTCCTCCACGATCCCTTCTCCTCCTCCTCCTCCTCCCTCCTCCCTCCTCCTCCTTCCTCCTCCTCCTTCTCCTTCCCTTCCCTTCCCCTTCTCCTTCCCCTCCTCCTCCCTCCTCCTCCTCCTCCTCCTCCTCCTCCTCCTCCTCCTCCTCCTCCTCCTCGTCCTCCTCCCCCTCCTCCCTCGCCTTCTCCTCCCCCTCCTCCTCCTCCTCCTCCTCCTCTTTCCCCTCTTCCCTCGTCTCCTCCTCTCGTCCCTGCTTCCCTCCGGGTCCGCCGAGGCCCGCGGCAGCGCCGCGGGTCGATCGGTGGTGCAGCTGCGCCGGGCCGCGCCGGGCGAGCCGCGCGCCTCGGCCGCCTCGCCGCAGTGCCAGGAGCGGCGCCTCCTCGGAGCTTCCGCATGGCCGTGGGAGGTTCGGGGGCGAGGATAATGATGTTCCAACCTACTTTAGCCTTGATCACCAGAATGAATTTCGAGCACCAAGAAAACACCCCCAAACTTGAGGGTTTTCACGTGTCGGGCCCTGGGAGACACTCTTTCGACATTGTTTCTACACTCTTTCGGCACTTTTCTGGGTGCTCGAAATTACTTCTGGGGGGATGTGGTCCTTAAGTACGATGGGAGCAACATGAGGCGAGGATAACCCAGACCGCCTCGCGTTGCGATTCAAATCGTGGCGCGAGGCGTTGGGCCATTTTCGGCCTCCGGGGGCCCCTGCCGAACTCCAGGGGAGGGGTGTCCAGACCTCTGGGGGCCGGCCATGGGGCCAGTTTCGGCCTCCGCAGGGCCAGGGGAGGGTCGGAGGCGAGGACGGCCCAGACCCCCTCGCGCTGTGGAGCAAAATCACGAATGGCGGTTTTTGGCAGTTTTCGGCCTCCAGGGGCCCTCGCCGAGCCTCGGGACCGTCAAGAAATCGCCGAGCCTCGGGACCGTCAAGAAACATGTTAGGATGAAAAACGGGTCCCGGGGAAGGGGTCCAGAATTTTGAGGGTCGACGTTTTGAAAAAAGACACGACGTCGGGAGTCTGGGAATCTAGGCTTCCCAGATGGGCTCCGAGCGGATGGAATCGGAACATCGCGCCGCATCGCCGATGCATCGCAGGTGCGACTCGATGTGGAGCTCAATTTTCTGCCCGCCGACGTCGCCACCCCTATCTATCCTGACCCCGTCCGGACGGTCTATAGATAGAAGGGCGAACAGCCCAGGGGCGGGCATTACATGTATTCGTCGGGGGAGCCTCGCCGAAGGCGTGGACCGTCGGCGCCCTTGGACACGTGCGTTGCGGGCAAATCGGAGGCGGCGATAGGGGTGAATAGCTCAAGGGCAATACGCGTATCCAGGGGCGCCGATGGTCCATGCTTTCGGCGAGGCTCCCGGGCGAATGCGTGTAGTGCACGCCCTCGGTCTGGTCGCCCCTATCGTCGCCACCGAAATGAGGTTGGCAATGGCCTAATCGACGACGAAGAAAAGGTGATGACCTGGTGGAAGGAGATGATGACAAGGTGGCAAGGACGATCAGGACGATGACGGGGAGGAGAAGGAGGAGGAGTCGGAGGAGGAGGAGGAGGAGGAGGAGGAGGAACGGGTATGAGGATGAGGACGGGGAGGAGGACGGGGGCGTTGAGCGTGCGGCTACTTGCGCCTCCCAGCAGATTCGTTCTCGTCAGCGGGCCCGGATCTTTGATGGTGTGACTTTTTCAGCCGCCGTTTTTCCGTCGATTTGGGCCCTCGGGGGCCACACTTCGGCTCCCTGCTGTCAACGATGGGTCGGGGACGAAGAACTGCTCCTGAGGAGTCGGTCGGTACCCCTGGGGCTGCGGACCGGGAAAGCCATACTGACGGATGTCAGCGGCACTCTGGAGGGTTTGCAGAGGGTTCAGGCCGAGCTCATGCCTCTCATGTCTTGCCCCACGCTGAGGGCAGGCCAGCGGCCAGGCTTTCTTGCCATGATTCTCGTTTCGCGACGTGCCCATGTCCCATTCCGTTTCCTCTCCTGGGGCCTGGGCCTGAGGCGCCTTCCCTTCCTCCTTTCACTCGTTCCGTCCCTTCCCTCCCTCCCTCCGTCCCTTCTCCCCCTCTCTCCCTCAGTTGTCTCCTTTGCCTCCCCCCTCTCTTCCCTTCCCCTACCCCTTCACAATTCCACAATATGAGTACTTTTATCCCCTCTCCCCTGATGACGTCCGGAAGATGTTCGGCCCCTTTCCGCGTACGGTTTTTTACACAGGGTTCCCGGGAGATGGGTCGCTTGGTTTTGTTCTAAATGTTGCTCCCGCTGAAGCGCTGGCCCCATCTCTCCGCCTCTGGTTGTTTCAAATCGTGCTCCCGCTGCAGCGCGGGCGTTTTCGGTCTTTTCAAATAGAACCAAACTTAGAAACTGCCCTCCCGAAAAAACCATCAGATGTGATTACACATTCGGTGACGATTCGTTGCTTTTTGGGGCCGTAGAAGCCCCCCCAAACGTTGGGGCATCGTCGCTTTCAGGAAGTATTAAGCAGGAGCCCCCTTTCTGGTTTGAGAAGGCGATGCTGGAAGCACAGCCAGCGGGTGCTCTCCATCAGCACCGCCTTGTGTGGAGCTTTTCGGGGAGCCCGATGAGCCAGACATGGACCCACGACTCCAGACCGGCCCAGACCTTTCGAAGACGATCCACTTACCCGCCAAGGACCCCGGCGCCATGCCATGACATGCTGTGCGGTGTTGTGTTCTGCGCCGCAGTGCGGTGACATGCTTTGCGTTGCAATGCTTTGTGATGAAATGCTTCAGTGCGCAATGCCACGCCATCGTGTCACATGCTGCGCTCTGCCGTGCTCTTCTACGCCATGCCATGCCGCGCTCTACCATGCATCGCGGCGTACCCTCTCGCGATCATTGCCCTGCTCGACGTCCGACTGTGCAAAGAGAGGGAGGGAGAGAGAGAGAGAGAGAGAGAAAAGATATCTACGCCATGGTAAGGCATGAGAAGGACTGATAGGACGTCAGACATGACGCGAGCACACCTATCTTGCCTCCCTTCCCACTCTCCCCCGCTTGAGACCTTGCTTCGTGCTCAGCTCCCTCGCCTGGATTCGGTTCCCGTCGGTCCTTACAGGCCACTGCGGCTCGAGAGATTGCCGCAGGAGGATGGGGCCTGCAGCTGCGGTGACGAGTTTTCACGATGTTGTTCTTGTTCCGCGACGTGCTCCGGCACACGCGCGCAATGACTGCATGCTCTGAGCGTGCCTCGCCGCCCGTGGCTTCCGCCTTCCCCGCGCCCGTGCCCTCTCTCTTCCTGCTGCCCGATCAGGCCCCGTAGCGTTCCTCGTCGGAAACTGGAACGTATACGCTACCAGTGGCGGGCTGTTTTTCAATCCCAGGACTTCTTGAGGGTCGAGGACGACGCTGGGGTGGTGTGGTGTATCTTTTTGTTCCCCGACGTCCCAGAGAAGTAACGAAAAATGTATACACGGCCCCGTATACACCAGGATCCGCTCTCCAGTGCATATTCCAATGCAGGCAGGGCCGGAACGAGCGTCGGTGTATAGAGTTCGATTCCCTACCTCGGCTGCCTTCGAACGCGGTGTGAATCCGCGCCGCTGCGACCAAACAAACAACATCTTTTCGCGACGTCGGATCGAATCCCCCCCCGCCCGCAGTCTGCCAGACAGAGGGCCGCGCGAGTGCCCGCGCGCGCAGCGGAGGGCGCCTCGCTGCCGCCGTGACGAGGCAGCGGGGCCGTCGTCACGAGGCAACGGGCCCCCTTGCCTGCAGCCGACGAGCCGCAGGGATCCACGTTGGAGGGCAGAGTCTACAAGCTTCCAGGAGACTTGGAGGCGTCTGGGGGGCTGAGGTGGCTGGCCCCAGCATTGGTTCCGGCCAGCAGGAAGGGCGGGCAGGTTCGAGGTTCTGGGTCCTGGGTTCTGTGCTGTGTTTTGCGGCCACCGGGGGCCGCGTTCGGGCCCCAGGACAGTAAAGAATGCATCCTGGGGGAAAGACTTCACCAGGTGGACCCGTGGACAATGTTTGAGAGGATATGGCCGCATCCCCCCTCCTGGCAGATTGCCCACGGTCCCAAGTAGTTCAGACCCCCTGGCGGCCTCCAAGAGTCGACCTTCTTCTCGGACGCCGATGTCCAGGAACTTTGCCAAATACTGCTCTCGCCTCCAGCCACAAGAGTCTGTAGGCGCATTTGGTCTTGTTGGGTTTGTGGACACATTTGATGATGTATCGCAATGTATCGGCTATAGATAACGCGGCTGTTGCCTTTGACGCAGAACCAAGTCAGAACATTGTAGATCCGTATGCGGTGCGTTCCTGTTGTAGAGCAGGTGCCACATGGTACCCCAAGATCCACGAAATTGTTGAGGAACTCGAGGCGTGATCCATTATGGCGCGTCCGCTATACGTTCGCGTTGGCACACGATGGTATGCTGGTATTGTGGTCCAACGCTACATACGCATTGGTGTGCGGGGCGCTGTGTGCACGAAGCTGTTGAGGATTTGGAGCCAGATGTTTTAATGACGCGTCTGCTATGCGCTCGCATTGGCACGCTATGATGTGCCGTTCAACGCTGTGCTTGGCTTTGCTTTGCTGTGCGGTGTGCTGTGCTACGCCTTATAGGCCAAGTTGCGCGTTTCGTATGAGACTTCGCCACCGGGCCAGTCGTCATTCATAGTGCCACCACTATCGAACATCCCAGGGCCTCCTGAAGCAAACCATGACAAACAGCAAGCATGCTATCGGACATTTCACATCGCTGCCTTCCCACCACCTCTTTCGCCATCCCGGTCATCTGCCACCTTCCTAGTACTTTCTCCTCTTCCTCCTTTCTCTTGTTCTGAATGCGCCAGACGTATGTTGGGTACCCACCTCCGCGCACGCATTCTTACATGTGAAGAATCCTCGACCGGCATGTTCGACATCCGCCTGCGGGGTTCCCAGACACCAGAAAGTGTGTGCCAAATGCGCAATCGCTGGACGCATGTTGGATACCATACCCCTCTCCGCGCAGGTTTTTGCATGTGTGAAGAATCTGCCGACCTCGTGCTCGAAATCCATTTTGGGCCTGCACACGCGAAAGACACGTGCCAAATACGCACGCGCCAGACGCATGCGGGATGCCCCTCTCCGCGCATGTAGCTCTACGTGAGAAGAATATCCACCGACCGCGCGTTCGACATCACCCTGGGTGCGTGGTCGTGTCCAAACACGTGGCAAATAAGCACGCGCAAGACGCATGAGGAGACTTTACCTTCCCGCACGCTTTTTTTCCCCACCATCCTGTGGTGTTGGGTCCTCGTTTTGAGTCAGCACCGCTCCGCGTCTCCTCCTTCTCTCGTCTCCTGTCATCCCCTCCCCCTCCTCCTCCCATGCCTGACTTTGCCCTCCAATGTACTCATCACCATCACCGCACACCCTTCGTACGTTTCGTAGTCCCAGCGGTAGGGTCCGCATGGCGTACCCGGAATTCATTTTGCACACTCTTGACACGTTTCGTGGCCCCATAGGGAGCTACATCGAAGACCCCAGCGGCAGAGAAAACATGGCGTACCCGCGCCCGATTCGTCATACCTTTAACACGCTTCGTGGCCACACAGGGAGTTCCACCGACGGCCCTCGACAGGTTCCGAATGGCGTGCCCGCGCCCGATTCGACACACTCTCCACACGTTGCGTGGTCCCATCAGGAGCTCCACCGAATGCCCCAGCGACAGTGTCCGGATGGCGTGCTCGCGCCCGATTCGGCACACCCCTCAAACGTTTCGTAGTCCCGTGCTCCATCCAAGGCCCCAGCGGCAGGGTCCGCATTGCGTACCGGGACCCGAGTCGGCACGCTCTTCACACGTTCTGTGGCCCCACAGGGAGCTCCACCGTACGCTCCAACGGAAGGGTCCGCATGGCGTACGTAATTACCCGCGCTCGATTCGGCACCCCCCTCACACGTTTCGTGGCCCCACAGGGAGCTTCACCGAAGGCCCCAGCGGTAGGGTCCGAATGGCGTATCCGCACCTGGTTCGCCACACCTTTCACATGTTTTGCGGCCTCACGGGAGCTCCACCAAAGGCCCCAGTGGCGGGGTTCGCATGGTGTGCCGAGGCCCGATTCGGCACACTCCTGACACGCCTCGTGGCCTCATGGAGAGTGCTCCATCGCAGGCCCCAGCGGCAGGGTCTGCATAGCGTAGTGGGCATGATGTACGCACCCGCGCCCGATTCGGCACCCCCATCACACGTTCCGTGGCCCCACAGGGAGCTCCACCGAAGGCCCCAGCAGTAGAGTCTGCGGGGCGTATCCGCGCCCGATTCGGCACACCATTTACCCGCTTCGTGGCCCCATAGGGGGCTTCACTGAAGGCCCCAGCGGCAGGGTCCGCACGGCGTGCCCGCATCCGCTTCGGCACACCCCTCACATGTTTCGTGGCTCGCATGGCCCAGGGGTAGGGCCCGCATGGCGTATCCGAGCCCGATTCGGCACGCCCTTCACACATTTCGTGGCCCCACAGGGAGCTCCACCAAAGGCCCCAGCGGTAGGTTCCACATGGCGTGCCCGCGCCCGACTCGGTGCCCCCCTAACATGTTTCGTGGCCCTACAGGGAGCTCCACAGAACGCTCCACCGGCAGGGTCCGCATTCAAGGGAGGAAAAACCACCCAGATCAGACAATTGGCGTTTACTAAAAGGCCTTGGGCGTCTACTAAACGGCCCTGCCACGTTCTATTCCTTCTGTCGCTTTTGCTGAACGACTTCGCGTGTCGGGGTGGTTATTATTGGGTGGATATTTTGACATCTGCGCATGGCGTGCGTACCCGCGGTAGGCCCCAGCGGCAGGGTCCGCATGGCGTAGTGCCCGCGCATGGTTCGGCACACCCTCTGCACGCTTCGTGGCCAAACCACGCGCTTCGTGGCCCCACAGGGAGCTCCACCGAGGGGCCCAGGGTAGGGGCCCCCTTGGGCGCCGCAGTCCTTGTGCTGGTCCCAATCCTCCAACTCGCCTGCCTCGGGAGATTCGCAACTGTACATGGTTGGGGTCTTTCGCCACCGCATGCTCGACGCCCCAACATGGACAAACATCTGGCCCCTAGAGCCTAGAGGCCAGATGCTTGTCCATGTCCACTGCGCCTCGGCCTTCTGGCACCCCTTCCAGAAAGTGCAAAGCACAGTGGATATGGACACAGCTCTTGCCCGCACGTTGGGATCCCTCCGCCCCACCTTACCCGTTCGGGTCCGCCCGTTCGCCCGCTTGGAAGGCCGCCCGCCCGCGGGCCTGCCTTGCATCAGCCACGCGCAGAAGGGGGGGGGGACGGGGGGAGCGCTTCTCGGAAGCGCCCCTGCCTCTTCGAAGGCGCGGGCCCCATCCATAGAAGCACAGCCGAGGCGCTGAAGGAAGGGGCGCCTTGGGTTCCGGAGGGGGCTCGACTCCTCGAGCTCTTCCATGGCTGTTCCTCGAGCCCCCCTCGTGCACCTGGGCGCTCCCGGGGCCAGAGAGGGGCTATTCGCTCCTTATCTAGCGTTCCTCCTGGTAGTGCGTCGACTTTAGGGCTGGCGCCTTCTAAGAAGCAGTCTCCTTCTACGAAGCACTCCCCCCTCCCCCTACAGTGAGCGGCTTGAATAAGGAGCACTTGCTTTTCAAAAGGGGCTCGGCGATTCCTTAGACTTGAGTGCGTTATTTCTTGTTCCTTATGCGTTATGTATTATGCATCGTTCCTTATGCGTTTTTCCTCGAGACAAAAGGGGCTTCGTTCCTTGTTTTTTGGTTCCTTAGGTCAGGCGGATGACTGTACCCCGTCGTGCGCGCCGCCAAGCCTGGACCTCATGCGCCTTGCGCGGGGGGCGCGAGGTCAAGCTGAAAGAGCAGGAGGAAGAGCAGGAGGAGCAGGAGGAGGAGAAGGAGGAGGAGGAGGTAAAGAGGAAGGTAGGGAGGGAGGGAGGGAGGATGAGGATGAGAAAGGGGGGAGTAGGGAGGGAGGAAGGAGGAGGAGGAAGGGAGGGAGGAGGGAGGGAGGAGGAGGAGGAGGGAGGAGGAGGAGGAGGAGGGAGGAGGAGGAGGAGGAGGGAGGAGGAGGAGGAGGAGGAGGAAGAGGAGGAGGAAGGAGGAGGAGGAGGAGGAGAAGCGAGGAGAAGCGAGGAGAAGCGAGGAGGAGGAGGGAGGAGGGAGGCAGGAGGGACTAGCGAGGGAGGAGGGGGGGAGGGAGGGAGGGAGGAGGTCGGAGGAGGGAGGAGCAGTGCTGGGGCAGAAGTTGAGGCATCCCCGGCGAAGCCCGGAGTGCCCCCCCCCACCTCGCTGCGCGCGCCGCCCCCTTGCAGGACAAGCCCGGGCAGGCAAGGGCAGCGCAGCAGGCGCCCGGCGCCGCAGCTGCGCCGGCAGGCCCAGGTTGGCGCCCGCGCACGTGGGGCGAAGAGCAGCGGCAGCGTCGACAGGAAGCCGCGGCTCAGAGGAGCCAGAGGCCCGGACCCCCTCGAGCAGGGAAAACACCACGACGGGAGGTGTTTCGCCATGTTCGACATCTGGGGGCCCTTGCCGGGCCTCAGGGCCGTCAAAAAACGACGCGGGATGAGAAGCCGGTCTTGGGAGTGGGTCCAGGCCTCTGGGGGCCGACGCAATGAAAAAGTCATGACGTCGGGGGTCTGGAGGTCGTGGTAATGACAGGTTCCAGAAGTTCCAAGGTTCCAGGATTCCCCATTTTTGCGCGAACGCTACTTGTTGGAACTCTTGGAACGCATCCTGAGCCAACCCCATCATGACATCGCTCTCGCCCTTGGAGGGTTTCTTCGAAGGGCTTAGGCGACCCGTCCCCCTCCTCCTCCTCCTCCTGCTCCTCCTGCTCCTCCTCCTCCTCCTCCTCCTTCTCCTCCTCCTCCTCCTCCTTCGCCTCCTCCTCCTCCTCCTCCTCCTCCCCTCCGTAGGCATTTGGCTCAAGGCTACATGCTTGGGGGGCGCTCAGCCTCCAGGCCAGCACGGATACCTTTGTCACCAAGGCCAGACCCCGACTTCTCCGCCAGGTCCGCCCCTGGTGTGGAGAGCGGTGCCAGTGCGCCGTTCCGCTTTGCGCGCGCCCGCGGCCAGGGTAGGATCTCGCTATGCGTAGTGGGTCCCGCCGCGATGCAGCATGCAAGTGGACGTGCACGTTCTGCGTGCATCCGACCTCGGGGAAGCCTTGGTAAAACGGGGCTCCAATGTCGGCGTGCGGCAAGTGCGGCAGGCGGAAGGGGACCGCCTTCGGTGCCAACGTCGAGCCGCCCACGCCGTCGGTCTCGAAGGCGTGCCAGGCGCGCCAGCGAGACGCTGATCCCCCTTGGGGCGCAGACAAGGCCAAGGATCAGGAGATCGCGGAATTCAAGCGCCAACTCCAGTTCTACAAGGCGTCCCCGCCGCAGCGGGGCGACGACGCCGAGGGAGTGGACGTCGACATGGGGGCGGAGCTGGACAAGTGCACCGATGGCGAGCTGCGGAGCCGCATCAAGAAGGACGAGGATACCATCCGCTCCCTCAAGCGCATGGTCGACGAGTGCGACTCGGCCTGGCGCGCGACCCCGCTGGAGGCTACGAGGCGCAGGGTCGCGGAGGCCAGGCAGCGGCTGGCGGCAGCCACGCCTTCCTGCGCGCGGGTGCAGGAGGTCGCCGACAAGCAGCGCAAGCTCGAGACGGCCATCGCCAAGCAGGAGACGGCCCCCAAGCAGGCCGAGGCGCGGATTCTGGCCGCCACGAAGGTTCGGGATGAGGCCGCTGCCAAGCTCGCCAAGTTCTACGAGGAGCGCGTGGCGCTGGCGGCCAAACTGCACTCGCTGGCGGCGTCCCAGGTGGTGCCCCCTGCTGGTGAGAATGCGGCTGTGGCGCCCTCAGCGATATTCGAGGCCGACCCGTCCAAGGCCAGCGCCGTCCTCCAGGAGCTGGGGATGGAAGACACCATGGCGGCGGAGTATGCGCTTAGGGTCGCCGCCAAGCTCTCCCAGTGCGTCAAGCGGCCGAGCGGCGGCGCCGTCCCTGCCGTGGCACAGTCGGGACCTGCCGAGGAAGGAGGCGCGGGGCCGTCGCCGCCGGCCCCCGCCACCTCAGCCGAGGCGGCGTCGCATGACGCGCCTGGTGGCGCATCGGCCGGGGAGCTCGACGCCGAGATCGCTGCTTTGAAGCGCGGGGCGGTGGATGGCGATATGGGCGCTCGCCCGGCTGCCGCGCGCGCGGTCAGAGCGCAGCGCCCTGCGCCCCCTGGACCCTGCTGATCTGTTCAGCGCCATGATGGTGTCCACGAGCGATCAGAAGCGCGCGGGCGGCCGTGGCGTTGCCGAGGGCGGGGGCCAGGCGCGCGGCCCAGGAAGTGCATCAGACAGTTGGGCGCAGCCTGTGTTACAGCTCCTGACCCATGCTTGTGAGGTGCAGGCGCCGGGCCTGGTGGGGGGGCTGCGCGCCGAGATGGTCAGCGTCATGCGCAGCACGGTGAACAATGCCGCGTCGTACCAGTGCGCCGATGCCGTGGAGGGCGCTGGAGGCGCTCGAAGCGGCTGCGGAGGCCGCTGATGGCGACCCTCCTGGGCCTTCGGCCCCTGCGGAGGCCTCGAGCCCGCGCGCGCTGCGGGCTCGGGCCGCGGTGGCCGATTCGCAGGACTTGAGGGGGCGGGGCGGCGAGGCGGCTTGGAAGACCGCGGGGGCGCACCTCGGCGAGCACCTCGCGCGCCCCCCCCGAACCAGGGGCACCTCCTCGACCGCCCCAGGGCGAACGCGGAGGACATGCGCCGCGGACCGCCGCGCGCAGCGTGGGCCTGCGGGGGGCCGCGGGCGCTGGGGCTGAAGCTGCTGCCGCAAAGGTGCCCTTCGACCCGAGAGGTGGCGGGCGGCGCGGCCCGGGGGGGGCCAGCCCCGTCTGGCGGTGGGCTGGGGGCGCTCCGCAGGCCGCCCGCCAGGGCAAGCCCATGTTGTCCAGCTGCACAAGCGCCCGGCCGCATCTGATGAGCTCGGGCGTCGCGGGTTCGTACCCTGAGCCGTCAGTAGATCGCCGTGGCGACGCCCTCGCCGCTGCTGGGCCAGCCCCCCCAGAAGTGGATGTCCGCCGTCCTGGCGGAGGGGGTGGACCAGGTAGGGGATGGGCGGGGGGGCCAACCGTGAAGTCGAAGCGGTCGTAGGCCACTCCGATGCGGAACCGCTCCCGCATCCGCTTTCTGGTCCGCTGCTGCTTGTCCGTCAGCTCCCCCAGCGCCGCGTCCGTCTCGGCCTCCCCGCCCGTGGCAGCGACGCGCTCGCACTCGTAGATCCAGTGACCTCGCGAGCCAGGCGTGGGCGCTGCGCAGAACGGGCAGTTAGGGCTGCTGATGTAGCCCGCTGCGTGGCGCTGCGCAGCATCCCGTGCTCCTCCTGCCCAGAGCTTCCGCAGGTGGCCTGCCCTCGCTCTTCGGATTTTGGCCCGCGGCGGCGCCGGCGCGTGCCTGGCCGCCCAGAGCCAGAGCCTGGCCCCCATCGGCGGTGGAGTCGACTGGCGGCGACTGAGGATCTGGCGCCCCTGCCAACGCGCCGCGCCCTCCCGCGCGAGCTTGCGCACCTCCTGCGGGTGCTGCCGGGGGAGCTCGATCGGGCGCCCCTCGTCGTCGAGGAGGGCGAGGCTGAAGTTGGCGCCCGACATGATGCTCCTCGTCACCGACCTGGCAGGCCTGAAGAGTGAGGTCGCCGACAGGGGCCCTTTGCTTGCCAGCGCGGCCGGGAAGTGCGCAGACATCTGGCGACAGATCTTCGAGGTGCAGAGTGGTCGTGAGCCGCCTGAGGCGCTGCGGTGCCCTGTTCACTTCACGTTTTGGGAATTCGCGCTTGACCCAGAGCGAGATACGATGGACTTTCTCAGCAACGCCTGGGCGGACTGGTTCGCCAGGGCGGGGGCCAGGGAGCATCGGCTGCCTGCTCTGCTGGCGGACCTCCTGAAGGTGCTGCTCTCCGACGCGGTGGGGGAGGCGCCCGTGCTGGCGCGGCACCAGGCCGCGCTCGGAGGCCTTTCGGAGGAGCTGCGGGCGAGCACGAGGCGCATGAGCCTGCCGCCAGTGCCTGTGGCCCCTTCACAGTTGGGGTGTGGCCGCCACCTGTTCGTCAGGCGGCCAGCGGGCTGGGCGTGCACAGCATGCACGGCCACCGCCACAACGGACGAGGCGAGGCGGAGGCTCGAGCGGGAGGACTGCGCGCCCTCCTCGCTCCAGACCTTCATGGCCCGTGCCCGCGCCCGCCTCCCTCACTCCTCCTCTGCTTCGCTGGCCGCTGCCGCGGAGCCGTTCCCCTCGGCTCGTGAGGAGGCCATCGCCATCGCCCTGAGAGCGGCGGATCGCGTCCTCGGTGGCGAGCCGACCGTGGCCCAGATTGGTCCTCGTCGGCCCACGGCTGCGAGAGACTGGATTCCTGTGCCGTCTGTGCGGGGAAGGGACCGATCCAGGTCCCCGCGGCGGGGCCCCGACGGGGGACCCAGCGCCGCATTGGCCCGTGCCTGGAGGGCGGCCCATCCTTCGGACGTGAGGCCCTGGATTCGAGGTGTGGACGGCAGCGTGGGGGCCGTCCAGCCGGTGGGCTCCTCGGAAGGGGGGAGCGTTGCTCGGGTCGCGGCCCCCTCTGGGAGCCTTGGGGGGCCCACTGTGTCTAGTGGGCGTTGGTCGACAGCTCCGAGCAGGGCCGAGGGGCCGTCGGGCTTGGGCGGGGTTCCATGCGGGCCCGAGGGTGTGGACGGGGCGGCGGCCGCCTTGCCTGTGTCCCCTGGTGCCCGTGGTACAGGGGGTGCCCCGCCCAGCCCTAGGGCCCGTGGAGCCTTGGACCAAGGTCATCAGGGGCCATCAGATGGCCTCATGTGGCCCTTTCGTGTTTGTCGAGTTTGCGGTGGAGCAGCATCCACGCGCCAATCTCCCGTCTTCATGGCCCCATGTAAAAGGGGCCCGTTAGTTGGGAGCGTAGTCGTCTTAGGACGACCGCCTTGAGACACTTCGAGGCGGGTCGGCACCCTCGGACGGGAATTTCCCTACAGAGCGGGTTCCACAGCGCTCAGCGCTGCTTTGTCCTCGAGGCGCCCTGGTTTTTATAGCCGCGGCGACCCTCTCGAGCCTCGGGTCTTTCTCTTCTTCCTCCTCCTCCTCCTCCTCCTCCTCCTCCTCCTCCTCCTCCTCCTCCTCCCTCCTCCCTCCTCCCTCCTCCGTCCTCCGTCCTCCGTCCTCCCTCCTTCCTCCCTCCCCTCCTTCCTCGTCCTCCTCCTCCGCCTCCTCCTCCCCCTCCTCCTGCATAGCGGATGGAGACGAACACCCAGCCCCAGGGAAGCGGTCGTGCCCTTGGGGGTCCTCGCATCGAACAACATTGCAGCGCCGGATGTCTGAAGCCTGCCCCGAGAGGATTTGGGTGCTGCAGGCTGTTCCCGCGGGGTG